CCCTTGTAACACTGATGGTGTTCCCTAGTTGGGTCATGAAAGGTCTGTAACAAAACCACCAAGCTCAGAGAGCACCAAGGACCCCAAAGTCCTCCTCCTCCCTTCCTCCTCCCCCCCTCCTCTCCACATACCCCACTCCCTTCTTGCACTGATGATGCTACCTAGTTGGGTCAGGAAATGGCACCAAGGACTCCCCACCCACCCCAGTTCAACCCTGAGCTATGAATAATTCTCTTCCATTGCTTCTTTCTTGTTGTCAAAAACGTCCATGAAAATCTGGAGATAAGTTTGAACCAGTTCCGGCGATCCTACCATGCAGCGGAGCTTCTAAATGCTATTCAGGGATCTATGAAGAGAGGAATATAGAGTCCCAGATCTTTGGAATAATTGTCCCATTCTGCTCTCTTTTGGCCAGGTTTACGCTCAGAATACCGGAAGCTGCGCTCTGCAAGGCGGAAAGCTAACAGCTAGCAACCTGGAGTGAGTTCAGACAAGGTCCCCCAGAGTGAGAAGGGCCTGGGAACAGGTCCTTTGAGGAAGAGTGAAAAGACCTGGGTATGTTAGCTGCAGGAGAGAAGTTTGGGGAAGAGAGACGTTGGCAGTTTTTGGATATCTAAATGGTTGTCAAGGGGAGGAGAGGGTGGAATAATTCTGTGTTCATCTGGGTGGGCCAGACCAGAAACAAGGGGCTGAAATGAAGGGCAGTTAGGAGGAATTTCCTGATGGTAAGGAGCAGTGGAATAGAGAGCTCACAAAACTTTCGCCGGAGGACTCAGAACAGAAAAATCGAATAACATAGTTGGAAGGGACCTTGGGAGGTCTTCTATTCCAACCCCCTTCTCAGGCAGGAGGGCCTGTATCTTTTCAGACAAATGAATGTCCCGTCTCTTCTTGAAAACCTCCAGGGATGGAGCATTCACAGCTTCTGGTGGCAGGCTGTTCCACTGGTTAGGTCTCACAGCCAGGAATGTCTATGGAGATTCTAGGTCTTCCGGGTCATAGATGTCCCAACGCTGCATTTTCAAAAGGCAACTGGACTTTCTTGGTGTTTTTTTCTCCCCCCCTTGAAGTCATTTCGCTTCTCATCCCAGTTCATGAAGAACTAAAGAAGCTTTTTGGATGAGAAACAAAATCTTTTGCAAGGAAAAAAAAAAACTCAAGAAACCCCAGTTGCCTTTTGAAAAAGCAGCTTTGGGTCACTTGTCAGCAAGTTTCTCCTTATTTCTAGGTTGCTTCCTTCCTCGATTCCATCCGTTGTGGCTTGTTCTGCCCTCAGGTGCTTTGGAGAATAGATCGACACCTTTTCCTCCCCTTCAGACTTCGACGGAAGCTGTCTAACTCTCCGTCTAAACTAAACCATCCAGTCAGATCTGAAGAAGCTTCTTGGATGGGAAGCGAAACGTCTTCAAAGAAAACCCAGAAAGTCCAGTTGACTCTTGAAATAA